CTCTGAATCATCAGAAGGATTTTTAGCCTGGCATCTTGCAGCAGGGAAGCACTCATGCTGTCTGTCTGTCCATCTGTCCACACAGCTGTCTGACAGCCACTCCTCAGTAACTGTTAAACCCATTGGTTGGTTTTGAGCATTTTTTGGTGATGGGTAATGACCTCAGAAGGTCTCACCAGTTTTGTGAAAATCAGCACCTCCCAATGACAAAATATAAAAATTGGGGTCTGATTGAAAAGAAGCCCTAAGAAAACATGCTGGATGGACAAACAGTGGCGTGGCCCTGGCTCTGGCTGACAGCTCTGCAGCAGCTTGGGAGGGCATCCGATGGGGCTGCCCAGGGAGGAGGAAGAGGGGTTTTCTGAGGACATGGCAATATGGGGTTCAGTGAGGCAGGGCACAGATTGTCAGGAAATCAAGCTTCATTAGTCCCTTTGCTCACAGAATGAATTTATTAGGACTATGGTGATGTAGGTTTATATAGGTCACTGTGACAGTGAAAACATATCATTTTTATCTTCAGCTTACTTGATATGCAGCATTTTTAATCTGCAGTATCAGCCTGACTGATTTACTACTACTTATAAACCACACTGACAAGGACTTCATTTTAACTCCATGCACAAATACCCTGTTCCTAAAATATAGCAGATGCACATTGGCTATCTCTGTAAACAAGAGATAGAGTCTCTTCTGATTTTGTTACATTGGCTCTCTGTTCTCTCTCAAATATATATGATTGCTCTAGTCTCTACCTCAGCCATCTTCTAATGTAAGGAAACAATACTGTACTTTTTTTGATTTTCCATTCCTACTGGAAATCTGGTATTTAATCCCTACAGATAGAAATTTAGATTGTCTTCCAGCACATATTCCCATTCATCTCCTATTTATTCTCTATTATGGTATTGGCTTCTTAACATGATATAGCATTGTTTTTCCTAGCCCTGACTGTGTATGGGCTCACTGACCTACCACCACCACTCTTCTGACTCTGGCCTTGGTTTTTATACTCACCTTCAAACATGAACAATTCAATTCTGACCTGATTCTAACAGCTACAATGTCAAAAAAAAGTATTTGGATAATATATGTTAAGGATGCAAAGGTTGGCTGCTGAAACCCACAGACTCTGGGACCCAGGGATCCCTCCTTGCTGACCAACCACTGCAGCCCAGCCAGGGGCATGCAGGGACTCAGGAGGTCTCTCTGTCCCAGTCTGATGGACACGGCTCCTGTCCCTGTGTACAGGTCTGGCCAGCAGCAAAGCTGAGTGAGCATCTGTCCCACACAGGCACACGCACACACACAGACACAGAGGACACCAAGGCAGCTGGACACACAGACTCCCCGACAGACCACTGCCTTTAGCTGCACTCACATAAAAACCAATAACCCTCACTCAAATGCCAGTAAGCCCAGTCTTGTTCCTCCTCCCTGACTGATCAGGATTGAAGTCCTCTGTGAAAACATATGTGCCCTCACTTTCCAGATTCACAAGCACACCCCTATCCACAGACTCTCAAATATCAACCCAGCCTGTAAACTCCTCAAATATCCATGTCCAGACTCCCTTACCCTGTATGCAAGTCTCCTCCGACTCTTCAGCCAGTCCAGTTAGGAGTTTTCTAGCAAGCCAATGCATGCACTACACACTTGTCTCAGAAGCGTCCCTACAATCACGGATCCCTTGAATATTAGCACAGCTTCCCAGTCCATCCGTGCCCAGACCCTGGGTCCCCTTACCCAGCACAGGCTCTGACCTTGAGTCCTTCCTGAGGCAGGCTTCCTCTTGCTCACCAACTAGTCCAGCTTAAAATTTGCTATACAATTCATACACATGCACACAGGATTAAATTAACTGGGGAAAAAATATACTTTGGTATTTACTGGTGCTGGTATTTAGACCTCTCCCATATAAACATACACCCTGGCCCCTCCAGTTGCTGACAGCTAGACCAGCAAGCCTTATGGCCCACGGTCCCTCCAGTTGGGACCATTGACACCCCTCTTGCATATTGGTCTCTCTAGCTGCTGGCACCAAGACCTATGGGTCCCTTCTCCAGTTGCTACAGCACATAGGCCTTGCAGCACTCACATGGGATATAAAGTGAGATTACACAGGAAAAAAAAAAATATAGTTAACTAAGGGATTTAATAAGAAGACAGGACAGACTGCAGTGATCAAGCAGAAGCTCAATCAGACAACGGCACACAGGAATGATGCCTTAATACCCTTCTCCTCTGTTTTCCCACGCTTGCTCCTCCCCAGTCCACCCTGACCTTCCTCCACCTCTGGCCCTTCCTCTAAACATCCCATAATAAATTTTGCACAGTCCCACAGGCCCCTCCTGACACCCCATAACGAGTTCTGCACAGCTCCCCGTGCCCTCCTCAAACACACCTGCCCCGAGGGCAGCCTTGGTCCCTGTCTCACCAGTTAGAGAGCTCAGGCTCTTGGGGTGTGTGTGTGTGTCCCACCACCCCCTCAGGGCAGCCTTGGTCCCCATCCCACTGGTTAGAGAGCTCAGGCTCTTGATGTATGTGTGTGTGTGTGTGTGTGTGTCCCACCATCCCCAGCCATGCCGAGGGACATCGCTAATGGCACATCAATCAGTGGTTGAAGAGCTCTGGTCTTTCCCATTGTCTCCCTTATGGGCTGCTGTTAGGTTTGTGAATCTGCGTGTTTATTTTATCACTTTCCTTGTTATGTGTTATTCTAAAGTGTTAGAACCACGTAACTTAATGAGGCAGGTACTCCCACATTCCACATTCCCTCACAATACACATTTTGCGAGGTCTTGGTGACTGAGGTCGCTTTGGGGGGCAGAAGGATCCCTGAGTTGAGAAGTTCATGACTAAATGGCTTTGTACGAGCAAGAGGGAGAAGCCGCTGAAAAACAGACCTAGAATGACACAGGCCTACCGCATCTCATGTCTTCTTTAAAGTGTGGGTTTCACTCTAGTTGGTTACTGGTTTTCAATATTTCTATGGTTTTACAATGCGAAACATGGAAGTTGATTCAGAAGACACAAACACAAGTTTATCATGTCACCAACCTGCTGTTGTGGGCAGCACAGACATAGACAAGCAAGTACCTGATACTGCCAGAAGAGTTCACTTGAGTAAGAGATGATTCAAGAAGCCTGGCAAGACAAAAAGGCACATTTCCCCTGCAAGTGAACTTCAGAGAATGTGTTTCCCTTTCAGTCCTGTCAAAGTTATGAGAAAATACAATACCATTCCCAAAGGTAATAATCTCACAGCTTCAGATCACTCCTCTTGTTGCCCAGGAATCCCAGGCAGGACCTGGCTCTCCTGCAAAAATACCCACCTCAACCACCTTTAAAAAAAATGTGCAACAACTTGGAATTGTGAGTCAGCTACAGTGGCTGTTTGATATATGTCTTGAGTGATGATCCAGAATGAGAAATTAGACTTCTTGTTATGAAAACCTGTGCTGCTGATGTTACTAAACTCAACATAAAGACCATTGTACTGGACTACCTCCCCTTTTACCAAAAGTAATGTCAAAGCAAATGAAACATAGATAAAACTTCAGGGAAAAACTTTCCAGAAGATTAACATTTTCCAGCACAGTAAGAACAGTGAAGCAACAAGATCAGCCTCCTTGGAAGATTCTGGAATAACCACTGGAGTTTTTTTCAAGAGCAGGTCAGGCAAAACATCTCCCAGTAATGGCATGGTGCAGCTGATTCTGCACTAGGACATAGGACTGGACCAGACCAGTGGTTCTCAGGGGGAAGAGACTAAATCAGGGGGTTAAGACATAGAGATCAGGCTAATAAAGTTTACCGGATATGTGCTGAATAATGCTTCTCTAAGAACCTCATCTGCCCTATCTATGAGAAGTCTTTCCTTCTGAACAAAGCCCCGTGATTGTATTGTTAGAAAAAAGCACTGAATTTGCACTCCAATAGACAGGAGAGTGGATGAAGTGGATTAAGCCATCATTAGATCCCTGCCAGTCTTGGTCTGCTCAAGTGCCCCATCACAGCTTAGCCCTGGGGGTCTGTTTAAACTACTTGAGTTATTTGGCACTGGCACAGACATCAGCCATGGACGGCCAGGCCCCAGGAGGGACCAGCCACCCTCACAGCCTGACCCCAGACAACCTTCTCTGTCCCCATTAGAAGCTCTTACGGCTACTTCCACAGCATCTGCTGCAGGGAAATCGCCCGCAAATATATCTGAGACTTTTAGAGACAGCACGTTTAAACACTTGCAGCCAGCGACCATAGCAAGGCTGATGTTCTCACCCCAGATATTAGGATGAAGAACAGGGGAACTCCTTCATTTCCGTGCCCATGAGTGGGCTCCAGACCTGCAAGCAGTTCCTCCAGAGACTCCAGTCCAACCCACAACTGAAGAAAGCAATATATCTAAAATCTCAGCTTATGGTATTAAAATCATGTCTTCTGAATACATACTCTGTGGTCCACTTCTCACCTAGCATATTCCCTACCTTTCCCATTTGTATATTTGGGTCCAGCACATTGCATTTGGGAATTACTAAAGCCCTATACCATGCTATTCAGACATACCTTAAATAGCTAATACTGTTGTAGCACTCCTCTATTCTACCACTGCCACACCAAACTGTACAATTATTTATGACATCTGATTCTGTATCCATTTATCTATCTATCTGAGCAGAGATTAAATTCAAAGAAAATTGTAAGATGGCACAAAAGGACAGGGCACTGCACAGAGATGATACACTGTTAAACTTTCTGCCCACAAGGTAAAAAAAAAATGGAAGAGAAATAGGAGAAACAAAATGTTGAGTCTTCAAAAAAATCCAGTCACTAAATGAATAAGGGGAAATTACTGCACTTTTTTTCTGTCCACTTTCCCATCCCTCCCTTCCTCCTTCCCTCCCTCTCCCACAAAAAGAGAACTATAGCAATTAACTGCAGCAGAATCTTTCTTTTGTTTTATATTAAGCTATTAAATCATCATTTGTCCTCAAGAAACATTGATGATTTAACTGACAGTTTATTTTTAAAATAGATCAAGCCTTGGGTTGTCATGCAAGTGCTGTATTTTATCCCTAATGGAAATAATTAAACTTACTTAAATGCATGAAGAAGTAAAGAGGAAATAAAACAGCCATCCTTCTTATTCAAAGGTCTACCCAGTGTCTTGACCAGAAAACATAAGATTTTATACAGCAGTGCTACACAAAATGAAAAACAAATATTCCATTCACCGTTGTCCTTGATCATTAACAAAGGGACAGGGTTTAGGATTTATGATAGTAGCAGGTACTGCAGTGACAATCTGTGTGGTTCTCTATCTTCACATTGTCCTTAAGGGTAATCTTAAAAAAAGAAAACACACACACATAACAAATAATTAGCATTAGCTAGACAGTAAAAGCAGCATTCTCAAGTAAAAGATGCCTGAAGCCTTTTTCTTAACCACAAGTACACTGTCTTTTTGGGGTACGTGTACAGCCTCTGAACACCAACCTGTGAAGCTACATCATCAGTGGCTTTCAGAGCTGTAAAGAGGTTTTCAATAGTTACATAGTTTGATGTCCTTGATTTGGCATTTCTTAAAGTGTCTGATTTTCAGAAAGTGTCAAGTAACCCATCCATGAAAAATAAGGAAGTGTCCTTAGAATTTTTCATGTAGGGACTATAAAAACAGAGACAATGAACACGATGAGTGATTTTTATTTTTAGTTTCAACCAAATTCTAGTTGCTGCTTCAGGGCAAGTATAATGTCAGTGGTCTAGAAAAAGATTTATGCTCTACTCAGATGAAGAGCCAGGATTCAGCCAGGTTCAGTCATCGGTGTCTATAGGTAGGTCAAGTATCTGGGCTCTCATCGCAGCCAGTGGAGACCCAGTGCTCTGTTCAGCTGAACCCTTAACTGCCATTTGAGATTTCACAGGGAATTCCACCAAGCCTCCAGCTGCTAGTCCAGAAGGTCTTTTAGGGGTCCTGTGTCTGTCAGCCATACACAGATGTCATGAGTACCCCAGGGTATTTCAAATGGCACCAAATCTGTGAATGGGTAGCTGAACTGAGCTTCTAGTCAACACACTTAATGAGCCTGATTCAGATCACCACAGGATAGACTTCTTAGCTTGTTTCAACTAGCTCAAATAAATTTATTCAATTCAATAAAATTTAAGGTTTCCTCACCTGGAGCTGAATCACACCCAAAATAATCAGCTTTATCAGAATTTCTCTTTAAGAGAACCTTCCAGATAAGAACATTAAATGCTCAAAGTAGTTGCACACATTTACAGTTCCCTCTTGGTTATACTATTAAAAGTAAACACAACCTCAGTTAATCTAACAAGCTCAGATGGTTTTGGTCCCTCATTCCCATATATGTAATTGACAGTATTAACCAGTCACCTTCCCAGAGAATTCCTGCCTATGCAGGAAAGATGCAAGGAAAACTAATTAAAATAAAATACACACTGCATAGTATTTAAGGGGAGGGTGCACACCCAGGAGAGTTAAAAACAAAAAAACAACAAGTCCACCACCAGAACTCCAGGTGTCATGAGTCAAAGTAGTTTCACTGAAGTCAGTAACACTGCATTGATTCCTGCATCTCAACTGAATGTCACACTTGGTACTGGTTGACACTTTAATTTCCTCTTTACAAAAAAGAAGTGAAGGATATAAATGCCAAGGATGTTTCCCTCAAATAGTTCTCCAGCGTCCTCCAGCAAAAACATATTCTTTTCTATTCCCTGGTTCAGCTAAACACTGCATCCTAAAGCAAGCTTAAACAGGTCTCATTTACAGCCTCACCTTGGTAAAAGCCTTTGCTACGCAGCACGTTGCTTCTGATGTAATGTTCTTTGGAACAAGCATGGTCTTCTTGGACCTCATCGGAGTGGGATAGGCCCGGGAGAAACAGCACCCAGTGCACTGGTAAACGGGTGCTCCTGGCTTGGAAAAGAATCTGTTCTCTCCTAGCTTGCACTCTGGACAACCTGCCATAAAAATATGAGGAAGAGATTTTTACTTGGTCTCCAGCTGTATTTTCATTTTCATAACAAAAAGGAAAGTGCCGGCAGTAAGAGGAAGTACCGGATGCATTTTGCTGCTTGACGTCTGCAGAACAGAAAAGCACAGACAGCAAAGCTCTCCCCTGTAGGGTCCTTCAACTCTGCAACATGTACCGTGTGTATAACCAGAGAGTGGCTTTCTAGGTAGGGCACAAGCATCATTGCACCTTTTCTGGTTTTCTAACTTAATTTTGTTGACAGTTATGGAGGAGGTTTTTTTATGTCTACTACACTAGCTGACCCTAGAGCTTCCTACAAGCTACAGATAATTAAATAGCATCAGCAGAATCTGTAGTGCTTCTTAGACATTGCCTGTTTCAGGCAAGACTCTGCTATCAAGAGTTTTAAAAATGCCCAGTGACCCTGAGATTTTTGTAGCTCACATTTTTCTATATTTGGTTCGAGGCTGAATAAAAAAAACCAACCAAACCCAGCCTCCAAAAGACTGCTAAAATCTTCCTTCCCTCTTTCTACATTACCAATATCCCATATTCTGGGACCTACAGAGGAAAAATATTCTGCATATTATGAGAAGAAACTATGGTTCTGCTGTTCCTGATATTACATTGTCATTTAGATCTCAGGAGTACAAGAAATCAAAACAGAATCAGAATCAATCACAGAATCAAAGATGTGAGTTGGAAGGGACCCATAAGGACCATTGAGTCCAACTCCTGTCCCTGCACAGGACAATCCCAACATTCACACCATGTCCCTGAGGGCCTTGGCCAAATGCTTCTTCAAACGTTTCTATTTGATAATGTTTCCAGATTAAGATCACCCATGGTCATCTGGGAGACTCTTGACCTGGAGAAATCAAGTTTAGAGAAGAAATAGGAAGTATACTCATAACAAAATTATGTTGATTTATTACACCTTCACATCTCAGTGTCAATAATGCAACTGAACGATAAGATTTATGACCACATTTATAAAACATGCAAGTTTAATTAATACTCTTTATGAACAATTGCCCTATTTCTGAACACCAAAAGCAGCTTACCCTGCATGAGAAATTCTCCATCTGGGAAAGCATGAAGAAGATGCAGAAATACAGATAAAATGGTCAAAGTGGCAGCTGCATACTTCCCATAGCAATCCATGATCTGTATGGAAATACAAATACACACATTTTTAAAAGACTGTTTCACACTGGGTACAGTACCAGTACTGATAAAGCATTCGGTGCAAGTGACAGAGACAATTTATAAATGGGATCAGAAACTGAAAATGCAGTGTATTGATGTGCATTTTATAGGCTCAGAAAATTGACTTCATCACAATAACAAAAATGTGCCTTTCTTTCTGGTCTTTATAATTTTTTTTCTGAGTATTAACATAAGCCACAGCACATAAATTCCAAATGTCCTAAGTGTCTAATATTTATGATAGACTGGATAAATCCAGCAAATGCTTATGGAGAAGACAAAAGAATCTGCTGCATCTAGGACATGGAAAGATTAATTTCAGGGAAAATAATTTCACATCAGGACATAATTTCCTGAACCAAGAGTCAGATTTTTTTTCCACACTCTGAAACAGCCTCAAGTTGCGCCAGGTGAGGTTTAGAATGGATATCAGGAAAAAATTCTTCACTGAAAGGGTTGTCAAGCGTTGGAACAGGCTGCCCAGGGAAGTGGCTGAGTCACCATCCCTGGAGGTATTTAAAAGGGACATGGTTTAGAGGTGGACTTGCCAGTGCTAGGTTTACCGTTGGACTTGATGATCTTAAAGGTCTTTTCCAACCTAAATGATTCTATAATTCTATGACTTCTTTAGTACTAAAGTCCCTGTAAACAGATTTTCACAGTTCAGTCCTGTCCCTGAGAGGAAGAGAGCGCCTCTGATCTATGTAATTAGAGAGGCACTGCATGCTATCCTCCAGAGTGCCCAAGGAGACACGTGCTGAGAGGGAGTTCAGGAGGGCTTGAAACAGTCCCAGGGCCGCCTGCATTGTGCAGGGTCAGGGGAGTCCCGGGGAGTTCAGCATCACTGGAACCTTCTGGACTAAGATTTCTTTTAGACTTGGTTTTACTGATGCTACAACTTGGCTTTTCAGTTCTAATAACAGAAAGCTGGTTTGGTAGAAACAAACTCTGGTCAGCTCAAACTTTAAAAAATCTTTTCAGTAGATTAATGTTGTGCAAGAAGGCTACTGCACATCTGTCCTTCTACAGCTAGCGCACAAGATGAAGTGGCCACAAACAGCATATCCCATGTTCTCTGGGTAATTCAACAGAATGCAGTTGTGTGGTTATATTTGATCCAGATCAAATCTCTACCATGGGGTAATGGATATCTCTGATATGAATAACTGGGGGGAACCGTAACATTAAAGATGCAAAATATATAAGTCACAACTGTATGAATATCATCCCAAATTCTCTGCTTGATTTTTTTTTTAAATGACTTTACTTTCATCATTATTCACAATAAGATTTCATGGGGGCAGAGAGGGGACACACACACACAACACCTCAGTTCTCTCCATACCCAAACATCAGATGTACTAAGTAGGGGCTACATGCAGATTGGCAGGATGCCTTTTGGTAATTAGCACAGGACCTTTAAAATTATTCTGAAGCATTTTGTACCAGCCTGGTCAGAGATAAAAAACTGGTTATAAACTGGTTATAAGGAACTGGTGTTTCTTTTGAGTCAGGGAACTGCTTTGTGCCTGTGGCATGGGCTGGGAGGATCTCCCTTACTGGAAAGTCAGGCAGGATCTGAGTTAGGCTAAAGGTGCCACAGGCTTTTTCAGACCTTCATGTTATAAACAGCTGGACAAGTAAGGCTGCTTTTCAAAATCTTGGATTCATCTGAGCTATGAACACATAAAACGTAATACTGAAGCTCACTTCTGCTCTTCTCAGTATTAAAATGTAGTATTTTAGGCATGAAGTCTGCAAGTCTTCCTTCTCAAGCACTAAGCTTCTATACTGAACTGACAATTCATAGAATCATAGAACCATGGAATGGTTTGGGTTGGAAGGGACCTTAAGGATGATTTAGTTCCAACCCTCCTGCCATCAGCAGGGACACCTTCCACTAGACCAGGTTGCTCAAAGCCTCATCCAGCCTGGCCTTGAACACCTCCAAGGAGGGGGCATCCACAGCTTCTCTGGGCAACCTGTTCCAGTGTCTGACCACCCTCACAGTGAAGAACCTCTTCCTAATATCTAATCTAAACCTCCCCTCTTTCAGTTTAAAGCAATTTCCCCTTCTTTTGTCATTAACTGCCCTTATGAAAAGTCCCTCCCCAGCTTTCTTGTAGCCCCTTCAGGTACTGGAAGGCCACTATAAAATCTCCCCGGAGCCTTCTCTTTTCCAGGCTGAACAGCCCCAACTCTTTCAGCCCGTCCTCATAGGAGAGGTGCTCCAGCCCTCAGACCATCACAATTGCATTGTGCTCAGTCAAAGACCATTTTGGCTCAGACCCTCAGTCAGAAAACAGAATTTCCCCCTTAAAAAATATTTTCTTCCAAAGCATAGACCTAAGCCCTTCCTTTAGAAATGAACAGGAATTACTCATATGCCATGGTGAAGTAATTGGTTCCACAGAGAAAAGAGCCATTTAAAGGATGCTGAAGTATTAAATTCCCAAACTGGGGCAGCCTGTGCAGGTGACAGAGACGGCAGCACTCCCTGGCCCAGCCTGGCTGGCCAGGGACAGCCTTGCCTTGGAAGGTTTCAGGGGTTTTTTAGTGCTGAGACACAGACCACATGTGAACAGGGGGATTTTCCCTGCCCTTGCAGATTATCCTGTGAGGGATTCTGGGCTGAGCACTGTGCACCTTCACCCTGAGGAGAGGGTGTTGGGCTGGGGCTGTGCAGCACCGCCTGGTTCACCGGCCCCAGTTGTTCCTGACTGGCTTCAGCCAAGCGCCCCAGGCACCATCCCAAGCCCGAAGCTTTTAATCACCAAACTATTTACCTGCCTTCTCAGAAACGTTATCTGATCATGCAGATGCCTCCACTTCTGCTGTCACCCCACCAGGCCTTGCCTGGAGCTAACCCACAATTTGTTAGGGCTGTGCCTGAACTGCAGCACTGACTGCATCTCCTGACGTTTGCAACTGGATCTTTTGAAGTTTCTTCTGTGCCACCTGATCTCTTGACTTTCAAAGACTGAAACTGTCACACAAGAGCATGATCTGCTAATGACTGATGTGCAGGATAAGGCCCCAAGCTGACAACACTGATATATACATTTTTAGATACTGAAAGCTACTGTGCTTAGCAAGCAAAAAAAAAGGTGTTCAATCCTTAAATACATAAGAGCTTTTCTTCTTTCAAATACACCAGTCAACGCTGTTACTCCATGATAAACATTTTTCAGGGACAGATCAAATTGTGGCTCCAAATATTTCTAAAAAAATGAGGTGGCAATGAGAAGGACAAAAATGACAGCAACAAAGAAATTGATCTTGAGATTTGGTGATTATTTAAGCATGCTATACTGATCAGAGAAGGCACTGCCAACCCTAACCAGGAAAGATGGTAAAAAATCAAGTATAATTAAACGAAGATAGTTTTCACATAATGGAAACTTATTTCTTTGCAAGGACTGACACAATGATGCAAACATTCAAATAATGCCGGCTCACATCTAGAGGGAGGGGTAAACATGAGGTGGTCCAAGGAGTGAAGCCACTTGCCTGATATTATCTGAGAGTGAACCTGAAGCACTGGGATATGTGCAAAGAGAGTATTGATTAGCAGAGGGATGCTCCATCACTGCACAAATTCCCAGAGAAATATGGGGACGTGAGGCTGCTACACACCGGTCAGCAGGTCTTGGGTCATTGATTAAACAGATGTACAATGCAGCCATCAAAGGCAGCAGTTCAGATGGCAGGGGAAGCACAGGTCCTACAAGACAGCTTGAAACCAGGAAACAAAATCAAAGAGAGCTGCATCCTTGCAGCAACTGGGAAAAAATCATGCCCAGGCAGATGAGGCTAAGACCAAAGGCAGGATGACAAGAACATGGCCCCTGCCTGACTGGGGTGAGCAAAGTGGAAAGAAACAAAGTTTATGAGCGAGACAGATATGCAATGCTCTCCAATGCAGGGAACGAAGGCACAGAAGTAGAAAAAAGCCTCTTTCTAATTAAGTCAGCAAAAACTAGAGGCAAGAGACTGATCTGAAGCCCAGATAAACTGAATGACTAAGAGGCCAATGAAGTTGCAATTAATGGATGGCAAGGGTTGGGTGCTGGGTACAAGTAACTTCGCCTCCTCCCTCCCGCTTGCCCAGAGAGTCAGTGCATGTTGTCAGAAGACAGAGGAAAAAGGAGTTAAAAGATTATGATAATAAACATGAAAAAAAAACCCAAACAACACTGGCAACAACTGTGGAAGCACTGGAAACAAGCATTTGGAAGAGGTATCAAAAAGCCAGTTCAATGTATGTATGTGTGCATGCAGGCTGAATGCAACCTGTAGTTACTAACCTCTCCTTGGGCTTTACCAAAAACCCATGTGAGTACAAGAAGTAGTCTTCTGATGTTAGTCAACAGGTGGCAAAGGAAACAGGAGATGCCGCTAACATGGTAGCCCCACGGGAGCACTGAACATGGCTCTCAGGTTTCTGAGAAGCAGCTGCCAGCTCTTTGCACCCTGTTCCCTCAACAAGAGTAACCTGTGTCTGCAGGAGAAAGGTGGTCCTTCACATCATTTAGATCCACAGCCTCCTGTGGTCCTGCCAAATGTTTTGGGAATTGAGCTGAGCTCAGTCCATTGATGGAGTCATGCTGAATAAATTGGCTGGATCCCTCCCTCCAGTAAATACAGGTTTTTTTAAAGGTTATTTACTGTATATGCTCTTTCCAGCCCCAGAGAGGGTATGTCTGCTGGCAGACTTGCCTGCACCGGGACACAATCCCACAGTTTAATGTCAAGCCCTGCTCCATCCAAAGGGATATTCCCCAGAGGCTGGAGTAGCTCATGCACCAGCAGAAAAAAGACAGAGAGCCTTTACTAAATGGCCTGTTTCCTCATCATCCTGAGCCTTTTGATAGCCTGGATGATCCAACAGCTCCAATAAGATGCCAGCCACAGGAATGATACCACAACCCTTGATTGATTATTCCATGATTTCATGCTCTTTGGTGAAGGCACGGTGGCATTCTCCATCCTAATTTCTCTAAGAACATATAATGCTACAATTTGGTACATTATAAGGGTTCGAGGCAATTACAGAGGGAAGTTGTTTAAATAACATTAACCAAAAGGGGAATTGAAATTGCAGTTTTACACTTCCTCTATTGAGTCAGACTGTCAGGCTCATACCAAGAACACCAAAGATACCTGGCAATAAAACCCAGATGTGATCTTCTCTATTCTTCCAAAGCAACAGCCATTTTGCCTTACTTGGTTTTTTGACTGTGCCCGTGCTGCTAACCAGTTAGTGTCTACGCTACTAATTTCATCTCACCATCAAATCAAAGGAAGCTTTTACTTCACTCTATTATTACCTTTCTTAAGCTATTGGAACATTATATAACCCATGAATTTCAGCAGCTCTTTAGAAAGATGGCAATTTTAAGTCTTCCCCAGCAGTTAAAAGTCTCACCTCACTCTTTACAATATATTGTCTTTTTCTGTGAATCAGTTAACATATTCATAGAATCACAGAATCATAGAATTATAGAATGGTTTGGGTTGGAAGGGACCTTAAAGATCACCTAGTTCCAACGCCCCTGCCATCAGCAGGGACACCTTCCACTAGACCAGATTGCTCAACCTGGCCTTAAACACCTCCAGGGAGGGGGCATCCACAACTTCCTTGGGCAACCTGTTCCGGTGTCTGACCACCCTCACAGTGAAGAACTTCTTCCTAATATCTAATCTAAACCTACCCTCTTTCAGTTTAAAGCAATTTCCCCTTCTTTTGTCCTTAACCACCCTTATGAAAAGTCCCTCCCCAGCTTTCTTGTAGCCCCTTCAGGTACTGGAAGGCCGCTATAAGATCTCCCTGGAGCCTTCTCTTTTCCAGGCTGAACAGCCCCAACTCTTTCAGCCTGTCCTCATAGGAGAGGTGCTCCAGCCCTCTCCTATGAGGACAGTTAACATCATAAAGACAGGCGATCATTGGCATTTGTAAACAGGTTTTCTGTTCAGGTACATGTGGATGGCTTCACATTCATGTCAAGTTCCACCAGGTCAGACATGCCAGCAAGCTTTGTTTGATAGGTGCCCTTTGTACTGATTGTATGAAACAGCCTAATGTTTTCAGCATAAAGTTGGGACATCCCACTATACTTTTCCATAGGTTGACAGTGGTGCTGTCATACCCAACAGCTGTTAAACACTTTGCACTCTGTGCTCATTTCCTTCTGGGATGCTTGGCCATGAGGCGCAGCTGTATCACAGCAATGATGAACTAAAAGGGCCAGTGCTTCACTTGCAGCCCAGTGTCACACACACAGTCACCTGTTAGCAAACCGCTGAAGTCTGAGAAATCCTGACTCGCTTTTTGGGGTTTTTTTCCTTCCCTTAATATATTTAATTGTGACTGGCAATTTAAGGACTCTAAAACATGCGTTAGTACCACAGATTGTGTAACATTTTACATTTGTCAGCAATACCATTTACCAGGAGAAAAACACAAGATTACTGATGAAGCATTAATGGACCCAATCAGAAATCACAAAATATCATTATTTGGCTGCCTTACAATTCTAGAACCTTGTTTTCTCTTACTTGCAAAGCTAGTTTAACCCCAAGCACTGATGTTTTAGTCCCAACACAACATTTAAGTTAATTTGCAAAGTAAAAGCTTTGACAGAAGGGAAGAAGAAGAAAACCTTTGGAAAGAAGGGAAGGAGAATGTAAAAAAATATGTAATTGTTCCTCTTTAACAGCAACAAAAATTTAAAAATATATTACCTCCCTTGCTCAACAAGAATAAATCAGACGGCCGAGAAACTGCAGGATGGTCTTTAAAGGTGAGCTGTCCTTGATGCTTGGATGTATGTTCCTGAAACTGATGTATGAAAAAGTTGCATCCTTCTTTTATACCAGCAAAGCTAGAGCATATTCCTCGCCCACATCTAAGCCATAGGATCGACTGTACTTTTAATCTAATGACTGAACATTACTTTATGTAATTACCAGCCCACCATGCTGATCTTATCTTCAACTTGACTTTCATAAAGATTGGGTTTTTTCTTATATAATGAAAGAAAGGTCAGCTGGCGAGCACAAACTCAGTGCTGTGTGAGTTTCCTGGGGAACTCTAATATCAAGCATCCCGTCATTTGCTGCAGTTTCCAGTGAACAGAATCTCATTTTGAAAAAGGAAGAGCTACTAAGGTTTCCTAATGCTTCTTATTAAACTGTAGAATTTTTATTTTTTTAAAAAAAAGCAAACATAAAACACGTCTACAGCAATGGCATTGTTTTCGGAAAGAACAACAAAATAAAGAGCAGCAGAGATGTATACAAATATTTAAAAGAATAATCTCAATTTGAATTTAAAGCCCAGATAATGGATGCATAGATAAATATAGAAGGATTACCTTTTAATAGATAAGATTTCTGTCAGGATCTCATCTTATTTTCAGAGTAAAGCTAATGCAATGGAGGCACTTCTGCAAACTGCACCGGGGTACGGATTTTTAAGGCTTAGGAACTTTTAAGTCCTCATTTCTAAGTGACAGAGTCTGTATTGATGCTGGATAGATAAGAGAGGTCCCACTCAGCCTTCTGGCACCGAGGCCAAGCGGCACAGCTGGTCTTGCACCCACTTAACTTTTCCCTTCCTCTTCCCAAAGGTGAGGCACACATCCAAACACCTGCTGGGAACAGCCCCTGGCAATGCAAATAGTCCTGGGTCGGTGCTCAAGGCCATTTCCTGCAACCCTATTGTGTTTTCAGGTCCTAGAGACTTCAGGGAAATTCACTTCAGACCTCAGCAGTTCACTTCAGAAGTTAACTGCCTAAACCCAAGTTACTCACTTTAGAACAGTCAATGGAGAGAAACAGCCCTAAACATTTATTGTGATACACGATTAAGTCACTTTTCCAATGCACCCGTTTTTCACCACCGAGAGCTCAGGGTAACGAGCTTGCACCGCTCACTGTCCTACCCTTAGAGATTTACAAATATTTTACAGCTTTAAGGAACTCCTAAACATACAAAAGTTTAAAATTACTTTTTAAGCACCTACTTTTTATTACTCACTGCTGGAGATGTGATATCGAAAAGGACCTCTATAGCTTCTTGTGTTCCTATGAAAACAAGGCTTTGATTCGCAGTTCAGTCTCTTCCAAAATTTTTAGGGTACAGCTGGGATTTGGTGAATTGCATCTGTTCAGATTTCTGACATTCAGTTTTCTTGCCCTTTGCCTCAACACTCTTTTTAATAGCACCCTTTGATTCTGTTAACTATTTCATACACATTTATCACAGCCTTATCACTTCTACCTTCACTAATGTCCTCATCTGCTTCAAGGTGTCAGACACCTTTTTGTTTTCTATTTGTTTAACTGATCACTATAGCAAAGTTAAACTCAAAGCAATTGTCCTCAGCCTACACTTGGCTTGAAATTGGTTTCTGTTTCAAAACTGAAGATGGATTTCTGCACCTGGAAGCTTGTCTGGTTTTTATCCAACAACATGAGCTGATCTAATAAAAGATAAATTAAAAAAAGTCTCTCTCCCTACAATCTTGATTCATTTAATAACAAAAGTGTAAGGTCAAAATTTGAAAGCTACTGGTAAACATAGTTTACAGAGAAATATTCCCCTGGAAGACAGAAGCTTAATATTTCTTGTCATTCAAAGCAAAATTGATAAAAATTGCTGAAGTTTACAGAGTGCCTCTGCCTTGCCTCTGTCCTGTCCATTTCATACTCAACCCAGCTTGCAGTCCTACTGGAAACTCAGGATAACTTGTGATGCTTCACAAAAAGCAGAAAACTATCTTCATCAACAGGAAAATAAGTAATTATTGTATTGCATATTAATATTTGGTACTTATTGGCCTATGTATTGTAGCATGCCATCAACTAGTAAAAAGGAAATGCTATACAAAATAGTTCTTTCATTAGAAGGACTCAAGCACAGTGACAATGTTAATCCCCACATCGTAAAAGAAAAATAAAAATGCCCACAACCTGGTACTCTCCTCAATGGAATTACACTGGTATAAATGATAGTTTAAAAAAAGCTCCTATTTTTATTAAGAGGATTTCTTACTTTAGCTGCTCCAAATCTCCAACTAAAAATACGTGGTCAAATCTGTCTTAATGTGTGACTGAATGAGAAATGAGAAAATGTGGATAACTGTTTTCACTACTTTGTTAAACTTAAATCACCTAGCAATACTCTCACAGTTTTTTGCTACACTCTGATACTGTGATTTTATGGTCTATACAAATATATGGATGAAAAGGTAGGTAAATATATATGCCAAACTGGACCATCAAATATGTTTTGCCAAGATCACTATTTTGTTTCCTATTTGTAGGAGCAGAAAAAGCCATTCTGAGGTGGAATAAGGCAACAAACTGCTATAATTTTCAAGTTTGAGGACACAGTGTTCCTAAACTGGACTGGGATTCTATTAAGGAGCATCAGTGAAACTAAATACAGCACTTGTTAAGACTGAAATCAATGTGAGCTCAGCATCTAAATATTATGGAATTTCAGAACTTTTGATTCTTTTCTAGCAGCTGAGTCCCTACTGCTCCTCCTCTGGCTTTCTCTGGAAAGGAGAGTTCATGTCTCTCCCCTTGCTCTGCCAGATGCTGTCTCAGGGTATCTGTTCTACTTCCCTACTTAGTGGTATCTGCTTATCTACAGGCTGCTTCCTGATGCTGCCTCTTCCTCGCTAGAGGAAAGCTTTTCTACTTTGGCACACAGCACTGTCAATAAAAGAATGGGAAAGGGCTCCCTTGCTTCAGAAAATAAACTCTTCTACTCAAAAATTACTCCACTCAATCAATAAACAGACACACACTCTTCAAGTGTGGTCACAGATGAGCACTATTAAAAAGAATCTACCTACTTTTAATAAGGGCAATACAAGTTTGCTATACCTTACCCTAGCAGAAAAGATAGTACAGAGGACACCTACTTTTTTTTTTTTTTTTTAAATCACTGCTGCATTCATCAGAACCATTTCTATTTTCTTTCTTGGTTTTCCTATTCTTTGTAAATGAGCAAATTAGAATAAAAAACCTTTAAAATGAAGTTCTAATAGCATTTTTGGCTTGGATGAACAAGCAGGTTGAGTTCTCGAGGATTTTTTTTTAATAATAATTAAATCACATTTCAGAACTTCCTCCAAATGCAGCCAAAATCCACCCTTCATCATTTGTGCAAACTTAAAAAACAGCAGCCCCCCTGTATGAGAATGGAACGGTTCACCAAATGCCAATAACTCCTCTTTCCTTCTCCCTTGCAATTTTTTAATACCTCATTGGTTCCTTTGTCCAGCCCTGCCCTACAAGCTGACACAGCACCCACAAGTCTGAGCCTGCACCCGTCCCCACACCAGAAGGCATCCTGAAGCACTAGTACTGTCTCTTGCATTTTGGGTCTTACTTCCTTAATTTCTCACGTTATCTTCCAAGCATCCCAGGAGGAGAGAGGATCCCACATACCACAGGCTGCTGGGCACTGACGCAGGCGATTTATCAGAGTTGCTGAAGAGAGATAACAATGAAAGGCCCCACCAGAATGAGTGAGGGCGTATCCTGGAGTGAAAAACTTGCTGGAGATTCAAGGAAAAAAAGATACAACTTGAGTGTCAAATAAAAAGGTATGCAGATAATATTTCAATATTTCACTGAGTCTCCCTCTGTTCCCTGAGACAGTAACATCAGCTCAGTGGATATACACTTAAACAAGGCTTCCCAAGGCAACAGAAAATACAGACAGACACCATTTCAAAGTCAAGAGCTCCTGTCTGCCAAAATACTTCATACCATATTATGCAGAGAGTGAAAGTCAAATTTTCTGTTCTTTTACAGATGTTTTCAACTGATTGTCTAAAATTATCTCTCAAAGCAATACTTTTTGGCCTGATCCTCCTTCACTTAAAATCAATAGGAGTTCTGCCATTATTTCAAATGACACTGGATCAGGACTTTTAAGATTAGCTATTAGTGTTCTCAAGCTTCAGCCAAACATTGATTATTCTGAGATACTTTCAGTACTTATTGCACATAAATAATTGACTGCTAAGCCTTTCCTATTCTAAAACCATTGTGTAAAGAGGGTTCACTAATACCTATCTTTTTTTTGTTTTTAAAGGGATTAATATTACAGATAATGGCACTTCAGAAATATGTGCAATAATCCTTATTTCACCAAACCTAAGTAAAAATTGTGCCTGTGAAGAAAATATAGTAAGATTATAAGAAATACATATACTTTTTCCTCCATTTTTACTGTAACTTGCCAAGGTCAAAATGTTTAATCATGGCATGTTACTAGGTAACTTATGGTACTAATAGGATGATGGCTGCTGTTTAGCTCTGTTTCATGCTTCTTTTTGGAATAGGTTTATTTGAAATCCAATTCCTCTGAGCAAAATTAGAATAGATAATATTACAACTGTCACAGCATTGTGGAACAGCAAACAAAATGTCATTAATGTGTAGGTTTGACTTCAAGGGCTTTAGAGATTGTATTTCAATATTCTTTTTCTCTACTTTTAATTAATAAAAGTAACTACACCTCATATAATGACTAAACGAGCTCACAAGGTCAGGAAGGACTATTCCTGTTACGTATAACATTGCTCAGTTGAATAACCGGGTTTGTTAGACTCCTGAAACATTAAGTGCTTATTATCAGAAAGAGGTAAAACACTAGACTAGATAGACTACTGATCTAACTGATTATGTCAGTGAATATATTCCTGCACTATAAGGTTAGCCCATGAGAGCTAGATAATGCAGCCTTACTTTAAACATATTTCAGTATTTAGCTTTTTTCGTGAAAAAAAAAACCCATATGAATGGATCCT